AACATTGAACACAATATACTTACCTTCAATAGAATTTTTTACATTGAACACAACATTTTTTTAATTCGATTTAATTTATTGATTTTACATCAATATACATACCTTAAACAGAATTTTTTACATTGAACACAACATTTTATTTGATTCGATTTATTGATTTCATGATTATTTGATTAGCGGTTAGTGGTTTATTAAATTTTTATTAATCAATCCTTGATTAACAAATGTTATGGTACAAGTAATGGTATCGAAAATGTAGTAACTTAACCACAACTTAGTTAAATGAAAGTTGATAAGTTAAATGAAAGTTGGTTAATCGAAACACGATTAACAGACCATGTTGAATACTCGGAAACATTTTACTACTCATTACTAACAACACTCGTCACACTTAAGGAGTCTCTTTTTTAAAAAAACTGCAGTAAATTAAAAAATGTGCTTCTAAATGCAAGATTAAGGGACACATGTGGTTTGATGACATTATAATGCTTGAAAAACGTAAGAGATTGCCAAGCACGTTGTTGTTTGATGACATCATTGTGACACTTCCAAAGCGGAGGTCACATGTTCAAAACTCATCTCAGTCAAGAATGTTGACATTTAACAGAACATATACTATGAAAAAAAAGAAAGTACGGCAAAAGAAAACGTAGGAGAGTAACCAATGATGGACCAATAATTTATCAATCCTAATTTTTGTTCATTAGCATCAAATGTGAATTCCAACTTTTATGTTTTGAATATTCATTTTTACCAAATGATAGACAACAATATAGTTTAAACTGAACTGAGTATGCATCTAGAAGTCTTAAAGTAAAAATTTAAATGTCTGGAAATTAAGCAATTCAAATCAACATTTCATGCTAACAAATGAAAAACCCGAATTGTTAAATTATGTTTTGGCCAAAATAGGAGTGACCCGTATATGAGCACCACCACATACATTTATGCCTATAATTTAAAAGGTGACACAAGGAATAAGTCTCAATTTCAAATCCCGGCAATTATGAATTCATGATGGAGGTTGTTCTACATAAATACTTGCAAGTGTTTAGGTCAGAATCTCACGTGTCATCTTTCATCTATGATTAAAATTTAATTTACATACTACGTAGTATCAATTAACTATCCAAATGTATTACTCCGTACTTTCCATGACATATGATATCAGTATGTGCAAAGCATCAAGGAGTAATCACTAGGGGTGGACTAGGATGGGACGACCCGACCCGGTACCCGGTCCGACCCGGCACTATGCAAGTCGGCCAGGTGCGGTTGACCGGGACCATGCCCGGGGCCTGACCCGAGTGAAGAAGTAGCGGTCTACGAGATCAATATTTAACGGACAATTTTTCAAATAAAAAAAAATTGGGCTTGAATTAATTGGCCCGACTCGACCCGAAGTCCGACCGGCCTGATACCCGGTACCTACCCGGGCCGGTACCGGGTCTGATATTTTTGGACCCAGAGCCCACCGAGTCCCGGCCCAGAGCCCGGACACGACCCAGTATACCTCTAGTAATCAGTTAATCACCATAATCCATAAAGAATCAGGTGTTGCATATATTTTGGTGTCCTTGACGGCTTGATCTATCAGGCTATCAGCATGTGCTTCGTCTTATGTTAAAATACCCCGTATAATTTACAAACTTATTACTTACTCATTAACATAAGCTATTAGTGTTTCAAAAGTCCATTTTACCATTCTAACGAACGGAAAACCTGAACTGTGAAATTATTTTTCGGCCAAAACATGAATGAGCCTTATATTAGCATGCACCACTATACACACACTTTATTATGCCTATAATTGATTTTTTTAGGGAAATGCCTATAGTTGATAGACAAATCCAATTCAATGCTCGTCATGTACTCAAGTTCACAATCGATTTCATGCTCGAGCAGGGTGTAAAATGCATGCCCAGATAGGGGTGGCCCGGTTCCGGTCTGACCGGCCTGGGAACCGGACCGGACCGCCATTGTGTGGGACTGGACCGGCCCGGAGGTATTTTACGGGCGGTTCCGGGGCTGGGTAAATACTAAATAGGGATAGGCCTGGACTCGGGCCGCGCGGCCTGCCCCGGAACCGGCCCGGACCGGTCACTGTTTGAACCGGCCCCAACCGCCGGCCCGGCCAGGGACCGGTTCGGGTAGGCCCGACCCGCTTGGGTTCCGGTCCGGGCTCGGGCCCCTCAAAAGGTGAACCGGCCCGGCCCGGCCCGTTCGGGCCCGGTCCGGGCTATTTTTTTTTTTTTTGATTTTTTTTTAAGTTTTTGGGTTGGGCTGGGTATTTTGGGCCATTTGAGGTGGTTTGGGGTGGTTTGGGGGTGAGGGGTAAGGGTTGGGGGTTAATTAGGAAAAGCCAAAAAAAAATATAAATTGAACCGAGACCCGGCCCGGGCCGGTTCCAGGCCTCCCCTTTCATGAACCGAGGCCCGGCCAGGCCCAGGCCCGAACCAAGCCCGAACCGGCCTGAGTCCACCCCTAAATAGGGACCGGCCCGGTGGTCTGGGTCCGGTCCGGGTCTTTTTTTTTGGTTTTTTTTTGGGTCTTGGCCTATGGTAGGTGGGCTGGGCTGGGTGTTTTGGCGGGGACCACGGGGTTTGGGCCATTTGGGGGGTGGGGGGTGGGTTGGAATAAACAGGGAAAAAAAAGAAGAAAAAAAAGAACCAGCCCGACCTGGTCGCGGTAGACTCCCGGGCCGGTTCCGAGCTTCACCCCAGAAAATTCAAGCCCGCCCGGGCTCGACCCGGAACCGGACCAGGCCCGGTCCATCCCTATGCCCAGATAATTGCACCATTCCACTATTCTTGAAAATGACCAGTTTGATTTGTTTAGCTAAAAATGGAATTTAGGATGTTTTTAATGAGACTTATTTCAGTCTCAAATCAGATCAGACCAAACTTCGGCAGTTGAAATATACACAGACATCAAACATTTACTACTTATCATTTAACAAAGTTCGGGACATACGAAGAGTTAAGACAAACAAGCCTTACTAAATAGACCCAAGATTTCTTTCATCCAAAACAGACCCAATATCACCTAGGCGTGGACCCGGTTCGGGCCGCCCGGCCCGGGACCGGCCCGGCCCGCCACTGTGCGGGCCCGGAACCGGCCCGGTTCTCGGGTCCGGGTCCGGTTCGGGCACAGACCCGGTCGGGTTAGCGGGACCGGGCTCGGGTCCTGGTTTTGGAGGCCCGGGCCTAACGGTCCAAAATTTAAAAAAAAAAAATTGCTTCTTTTGGCTCAACGGCCACCCCAGACGGCTATACAGCCGTTGGGTGGTACCAGGGGGGTCAGGGGGCTTTGTGTGGGGGGTGGGGTGGGGGTTAAAAAAAAAACTATAAATACTCCTAATTTTAAACATTTTTTCCCACCTCTTCTCCAACTCTACCTAAATCCTACTCTCTACTCATCTCCAATTCTCCATATTCATCTTCTCAAATTCTCTTATTCTCCTTTATATTTTATTTTACTATTTAATACTTATACAATTATTATATCTACTTATATATTAATTATCTACTTATATATTATTATCTACATATACTATATTACTTATATTTCTTATCTACTTAATCTCTACTTATATATCTTAATACATACATACATACTGTTGGGCCCAGAAAAATACACATGGGCCTGCGGGTGCAGCAATAGGAATAAGTCCGGGCAACTCACAAGTTGACTGAAGCCCTCCAACACAGGCTGGCTGGAAACTAAAGAAAAGATAAGTATAAAAAGAGTCCATGAATGAGTCAAGAGGAAAAAGTGGCACGTGGAGGAGAAATAGGTGTTCAGTTCCTATTCTTGGGGAGAAAGCAAATTTTATTTAATAAATAGACTAGCTCAATCCCATGGTAACACACGATACATTCAGCACACATACTGCTATTCACAAAAAAGGCACATTAGTACTTCCCAAAAATTCTGTATTCGAAGCTCTAAATCAATACAGAGATATACATAATTTATATATATTTCTCCAGTATCAATTCGTCCATATTGATTCATTATTGCTTGATTCCCATTTTAATTATATACTTTAGATTAGTTTGATTTCTGGTCAAAACACATACTATATCTACTTAATATATACTTTATATAATAAAGTATTAAATATACTTTATAAACTATTACTATATACTTAATACATAATAATATCTACTTCTCTACTTATATTTTATATATACTTATTTTCCAATCTCCAATTCTCCATTATACTCTAATATTTAATTCTTATACAATTATTATATCCACTTAATACATACATTCTACATCTACTTAATATATATTTTATATATTAAAGTATAAAATATAAGTGTATTACTCATCTTATAGTAGTATACTTATATATTATATAATATAAACATTATATTATATATTACTTACTATAACTAGTATTATACTAGTTAATTAGTTAATTAGCATTCTTATACATATACCATTTTAAATATGGAAAGTACATCTTCCCTTATGCAAAACAATTTTGACAAGTGGAAGGACCCGAAGACCGGTCTATGGTGGGCAACTTGCAGGTGGTGCAAGAAAGAGTGTTGCTTGGGGCGTTCATACGGATACGGGGTGCCAATAAAACATATGAAGTCTTGTGACAAAGGGAAAACAACAACCAACGGTGGCGGAAATCCCAATTGATATTCATTACAAAATGTATTTCGTATTGTTATTTTTTTTCTCAATTCTCAAATGTAGTTCTTATTTCAAATAAATGCACTTGAACTTTGTTTTTAATAGCAATTTGTATAATATATAATTAATTAAAAAAAATATATATAATGGCCCGGCCCGGCCCGGCGGGTGGCCCGACCCGTGACCCGGGCGGGTGGCCCGGCCCGAACCGGAACCGGTCATTGACCGGGCCGGTCCTACCATTATAGGACCCGAGGCCCGACCAGGCCTTGACCCGGCCCGGGCCCGACCCGGCCCCCAGAATTGATAAACAGAGGCGTAGGTAGGGGGCCATCCCCCACCCAGAATTCAATAAAAACCCTTCTTTCGGGTGTTAATTCATTTGTGTAGTTGTAGTATGAAATTATGAATGAATTACTTTTAAAGCCAAGACTACATTTTGGTCCTGACAAGACACTAATGACAAACAGCATATATCAACAGCTATTTCTTAGCCTCAAATGCACATAAAATCTAAAAATCAAATCATGCTTTCCAACACACCAAATGGACAGTCTTGAGAAATACACTGATTACTTGTAAAACACACATTTGCTTAAAGTAACTTTACAAGTCCTCCTAAGGTCCTAACTGCATTTATTCTTCAGGGGAGGGGGTGTCCACGTGTTACAAGTTACAACTGCAGAAAATACCACCATCATATTGCAGAGTAGCTACGATCATCGTGGTGAGAAGCGTGTGAAAGGACAGTCAAGAAAACGAAAGCCCCATATATAATCGTAGCAATGGCCGTGAAATTGACGAGAATGGCCTCGGATCCGTATTTGTAGAGGCCGGAGTTCTCAAGGAAGGTGAGCTTCTCAAGGAACCCCAAACAGGCATTCCCAACAGCTAACACATACACAAAAGTGCCAAATAGCACATGCCAAGGAAGTGATTCACGTCTTAAACTCAGTTTTCCTCCCGGGTAGAAGAACACCAAAAAGCCATAAATCCACTGCATGCAGATTGTTCATGTTACCAGTTATTCCCAGTTAAATAGAGAGGGAGTAATGGACTTGTGGGTTAGGAATGTGCACTGAGAATAATAAGCACTTCTAGTTGTAATATGAGGTGATAATTATCAATTTTATACTCTTACATCCTTAATGATTTACATACTACCCTTCTTTGCCCGTCCCAAAACTTCTATCGTATATTAATATGCGATTTACAAATTTGCTCTCTTGTACACTCAAATCTCAACCAGACTGTGTGACAAGTCAAACTGGACACTGATTTAGGAATGGGTGGAATATAAATGGGTGAAGAACATGCTCATACAATTTCATCAAAAAATTCCATCGGGAAAGGGCCCCAAATGGCCTTGGTCGGACGGCGGGTCCCATGCGGACCGCTTGAGGAGATCATTTCTCATTCCAAACATATATTTATACATATAACGAGTTTCCTAATCAGTGTGAAACGACTTATGTGACTGATATTTGGACATGGAGGGAGTTTTATTAAAAGACTAATACGTAATACTACCTATGTCGCATAAAACTTTGTGATCTTTGACTTTTGAAGTCAACCGAGATAAACTTGGCCAATAATTTTGATTAGTATAATTCTATAAAAGTTATAAATTTTATACTTTTATGGAAATATTTTTGACAAAGAATATTATAATTTTATATTATAAATAATTTCCTATAAAAACATATCATTGGACATCGGTCAATGTTTAACTTCATTGACCAAAAAAATTAAAGATGACAAAGTTTTTAGGGACGAAGGGAGTACTATATCATGAGTTCTGGCCATCTATTTTGAATTGATTAAGTGGGGTTTGTCTGAGAACTCTCATGAATTTCATGATTCAACCCCAGTTTACTCCTGATCGAATCATTGAACCCCTAACAAATCCCCCCCAAAGTTCAGAGGCCAGACCCCGATTCTGACAAAATTAAGTAATTATATGACTGGATCAGCAATTCCCCAGTTGAAGCTCAAACGTTGTCACCAACTAAACATCCAAACTTGAAAAGCATCAATCATATGATTAGTGTGCACAAAACTAGAATTACCTGAATGGCATAAAGAACAGCAACCCCAATGCCAATCCAGGAATGCAAACTGTACAAATTAGGAATGTTGCTTTCATTGTGATTCTTGAAGGCTGCACATATCCCCACTATTCCAAGTACCAAGGCAACAGCATGCAAACTTAGATGAAGCACCTTTTGCACTTCCTGCTTCAACGGGAGTGCTTTGTAACTCATAATAGCTGCAGTTTCATAAATCAAACACAAGGTCAAGTAATTACACTGGAAACATGAATTTAAAAAAAAAAAAACTAAAGGTGGAAATTTCCCTTCACCTTCTCCTCCAAGAATAATGAAGCCAATAAGCATCAAGACAGGGTGAAGCTGTAAAACAAACAGAATGATATAAAATTTTAACTGCTAATCAAATTGATCATAAACTAGCTGAATTTAATAAAACTAGCACTCCATCCCTGACTTAAAGCGCTGTTATGTGCCCCATATTTTGGGCTTATAGTTATTACTTATTCTGATTGTAATCAGGTTAGACCGTAGCACCCTACTAGACCAGAAACATTCAAACCAGACTAGGGTGTCAACAAACTGAGCCGAGCCCGAGCCCTAACATCACGAGTTTGAGTTCGGCTCAATTAAGTAATCTTGGTATTCGAGTTCGGACCAATTGGGTAATCTTGGTGTTCGGGTTCGAGCTCTAAGCTAGAGGCTTGGATTCGTCTTGATAGATATTCGATTTGAGCGATTGATAAACTCAAAAAGTATGTTCAAGCGTACTACAGTATTAAATGATTCGATAAGTACTTGATTTGTTAATAACCAAATTCAAATTAAAAAGTTATATTTAAAAATATACGAGTAATAAATTTCCCCTATAATTTATAAATTTCTAATAGGCTCCAGCTCGAACCGAACACTAGTATGCGTCTATGTTAATGCTCTCATTGAATAAATACTCAATCTTCAAATCCTTCTCGTATTCGAGTTTGAACTTTAAAGCTCATTGAGCTTGGTTCTTTAGGTTGGGAATCAACCACGGGCTCGAAGAAATCAAAGAACGCTCACTTTGTTGAAAGCCCTAGACTAGATCAAGAAAAAATTGAAATTAAATCAAAAGACCAAACGAGAACATGAAGATACAGACTAGGCTAAACCATGCTAGATCTTGTTTTTTAGATCAAGTCACAGTTTTTGGTGAAGGGAACATGTCTAGTGTGTTTGGATCATAGAACACGATATCTTTTAGTAAAAGCTCCACCCAGCCTTATATGACGACCTACATAGTAATTTGCAGTTTGATTTCATTCCAAGCCTTTACTAGTTAAGGATTATGATCATATTGTATTCAGCTACAACAGTTTCACAATTCAACCCTCAAACAACAATAAAGGCCTGTTCGGTACGAGACATACGGTTGAAATGACTGAATCTCCTAAAATTTCTCAAAAGGAAGTCTCCTCTAAGAGTCTAGGCTCCATTTCAACCATATAAGCAAGCAGTTTAAAAACTATTTATTCTGCTGACAAGCAGAATAACCCACCTTTGGCAACCAAACCGAGCCTCTCGGGGGGTTAGCTTCTTGAAGGTGATTCACCATTGCCATCCATAGAATTTAGAGCATTAGGTTTTTAGAGTGTTTGGTAAAATTCTCAAAAGGGGCTCTGGAGTTATGCAAAGGATTCATTTCAAAATATCTTCAACGCTCACAATTTGCTTCTGAAAATCTGATTCTAACTAACGATTATGCTATGCTTGTACTTTTGAGTTATTTATTTCAAGAAAGACATTGCTACAAGTCCTACAACAAGTCAAGTAAACATTTAAATCTCTCGCAAAAAAAAGTAAACATTTAAAATCTGATTTTAAAATTACGACTGAATTCATTATCTAAACAGTACATGAATTAAATTATGATACTAATGTTCACAAACAAAATTAGAATCGGCTGAGGGCTGAGGCCAAACACTCACTAACAGTGGAGTCTAAATCAAGTTCAAGAGTCTAAAATCTCATAACTTGACTTCAAATTCAAACAAAACAGGCCAAAAGTGTGACTGAAAGCACCCCAGAAGTCAACTTAAATAAATCCCAGACATATAAGCAACTCAGAGAGGAGAAGAACACAAAGATACATACATTAAAGATGAGATTTTTGTTGGTCGCTTCCCAAGCTAATCCGCCCCTGAAGTGAATGGCCCATACCAACACCAGCACGGCCAGAGCGACGGCAAGAAAGTGCGCCACAAAGGATAAAGGCAACGACTTTGCCGAAATCGACATACCTCTTTCCCACTGTTTCCTGAGCAGAAAGGGAGAAGATCTTTATGGTGTTCAGATCGAAAGCGTCGACCTAGTAATCTATCTTCCTGGGTGAGACGCCACGTCGCTGGACACTGTATAGAGGGGAAGGGCAGTGAGGTCTTCTTGTGTGGTGGTGGTTTGAGAGTTGGAGTCGTGTTTTGTTCCTTAACAAACGGTCAACCTGGCAGCCATGGCCTGTGGACTTTCAGACATTTATTTATCTCATTTCCGTATTCGTATGGCTGTTAGGTAGGAACATTGGTACATTTGACGAAGCTACTCCAAGTCTAGAATTAGAATTCAGTATATGTATTGTCACATTTCAATTTCCTTTATATAGACGATATAATGATAAACAATGGTAAGGACATTATAACATGGATGAAATTAAGAGAATTTGTTTTTGAAGGTGTGATTATAATTAAGGAGAAAACTTTATTTATAAGCTTACATGGTAATAGGACTGTCTTCTGACCACCTTAACTTGAGGTGGTTTTGGGTAGAATTCTTTGATGATTTTTTAGCATCCGGAAATGAGGATGTTAAATGCTGCCATTTTTGATGCGTTGCTAGTGATTTTTGAGATATTTTGCGCTTGGATCACTATTACAGTATGTACCATTTGGTTTTGGAAATCTAGCATATTGATAATTAATTATCTTATCATTTTAGGACATAACTTTGAACCATCTCTCTCTACACATCCTAGACATATTTCATCTTCCTTCTCACTTCATTTCTCACCACCTAATCATCAACTCATCATCAACCACAACTAATCAATTTCTCATCCAAGATCAAGTTCAAGATTAATTACAAAGCTCCAAAGATTGTCATCGATCACAAGTATGATCTTCATAATCTCTTTAAATATGTGCAAATAACGGCCAAAATCACTTTACAAGTACGCCGGTTAGCATGTTGCTTGAGATCGATTCATTAAGGGTGCTAATCAAGTAAGCCGGTTAATGGTGGACTCACAATAACTAAAGTGGTTAGTATATTGAACTATGTACAAAAGGTGAAACAACGACTAAAATCACTTTGCAATAAGATATAACGTCTATTTAAATAAAAAAACACATATGTATCAATTAAAAGTATGAAAATTTAAATATCACATGAAAACATCTCATGAAATATTGAGAAATGATATCATCAATGATAACTTCAATAATTTTTCTTAAAACATTTTATGTTAAATACTTTTATTGACCTGGAGAATTATTGTGCATCATCAATTTTGAAACATTATTTTCGTTATGGCAACACTTGCTCAACTTTTCACATTCCAATTGTTTCAAGTTGAATTCCTGAATGCAACAAGAATCTGAAAATATCTTGAAAGACTTTCATCTTATCAAGTCTATTTTGTCAATAACTTAAGCAACTCCCATAATAAACTAGTCTAGGTATTTTAAAACGCGAAAATGTTAAAATTTGTAAAGTCGTTGTATTCACATACAAAATGTAAAGCAACATCCCTCATTCTATTTTTTGGGCATAGGCTGTCATCTCTTTTACACCACTCTAGGGCCACCCCTATTAGTAATGGATAAAATTAAGGGTGTTATCAAGTAAGTCGGTTAGCATGTTGCTTGAGATCGATTCAGTTATTACTTGATCAAACTCAACTGGATTCAATTTAGACTCAAATCAAATCAAATCAAGGTTCTATTATGTACAAATTGGTCTCAAAAAGCGAGTTAATATTATTCATACATATGACATTACATTGTGTATCATAATAGTATTAATCCACACCCAAAAATTATATTTATCTACTACTAAACATGTAAGGTTTCAAAAGTGATATGTGGACTTTATGAATTTGCTTTAAATTTTTTTCACCTCAAATTATCAAACAAGTAAGGTTCAATCAAAGTGCATAATATAATGCCACCTACACTCTGCACATATGGACCTTAACATTTTTGTATAATCCCACACATTTCAATGTAAGAAATCAGAATGAGAAAAAATCGAATTTATATAAATATTTAGACTAATTAGATTTCAATTATATTTCATATGTCGGAAATTAAAAGTAAGATTTTAGTCCAAATCCAACATTTGAACATGAAGATGCTCAACAATATATATTAACTCAACGTTTGAATATTGCATTTATACTAAATCATATCATGCCATTAACTTTCTCTGTAGAATGGATGTGCACTAGGGCTGGGTCTGAAAAACCGAAAACCGAAAACCGAATCAAATTAAACCGAACCGCAACCAAATAAAACCGAACCGCTAAGAAACCGAATGTAAAAAACCGAACCGAACCGAAGTTGTTCGGTTCGGTTTTGGTTTTTACCCTTCAAAACCGAACCGAACCGAACAAACCAAACTATTTAAAATATGAAATTTATATGTTAATTGTTAAGCATTAATTCTAAATAATCTGAATATCATCAATAGTCTTTGGTTTTTTTGTGTTAGAGAAATAATGTTTGTGTTATATTTAATTTAATTTAGTTTATAAATTCATTTAGACATTCATTGTGTGTAATAATAGCTATATTGAATGATGATCATATGTGTTTACTAGTTATTAGTAGTAATTAACTTAAAGATAACTTAATATTAATCTCAACTATATCACATAGAACATATATATTCATGAAAAAATTTCAAACTACTCACAAACAAATTAAATCAATAATATATGCAGTTTTATTTATCTCGCATATTTATATAATTCAAGACATATTTATCTTTTATCTTTTTTATTTTGTTTGTCGTTGTATTGTGCTTGAATTCTTTATGTAATATGTTTGATCCTTCTAAGTATTATATCAATTTTAAATCAAGTGAAAATTTTTTAGTAAAAAAACCGAAAAAACCGAAACCGAACCGAAACAAACCGAACCAATCAAACCGTGGTTCCAAGTTTTGGAGTGTAAAACCGAACCGAAACCGAACCGAACTTTTTACTTTGATTCTACATTTGGTTTTAGGTCAAAACCGAACCGCAGGAACCGAACCCACCCCTAATGTGCACATCATAACCAATTCTCTCTTTACTGTCAATTGGTACATATAAATTTCTCTGAATGCTCATTGAAGGAGGGTAAATATGATCAATTTTCATCTTTCTTTCATTAACTCAAGTGATCCTGATGTCAACGTCAGGATTGAGCTAATTTGTGGCTCTCAAGAACCCACTAGAAACATGAAAAGAATAATTAAGAGTCTCTCAAACAATTCATTATATTTCCAACACCATTTGTTGAATTGTGACACCCCAAGAATTTGAGTTGGAAATAAAATAATTATTTTATCTTTTGGAAGGCTCCAAAGTAGGTGAATTAATAAATTTGATTTAGTGGGGCCAAGAAGGGGTCCAAAAGATGCAACACCAGAGCAAAACTCGAAGTTAGTACACATATGTGTATATATACTTCCTATTATTTTATTTTCGTATGTGAAGATATACTTCGTATTATTGAAATGTATATTGAAATCCATTTTATATTACTTTATCTTTTTATTCTTATTATCTTTATTCTCTTTTTGGCTTTTATATCATGGATTGATATATATTAGTTGACTCCAAAATCTATTGGAAATAAAACTTGGATATTGTTGTTTGTATCTAACTTCTTCATTAGCTTATGTATTTCCTTCAATCCTTTTAAAAAAATATTTTGTTTAAAAGAATATTCATTCCTCGTGAAAGAGAAATTGGGTTATCCCGCTAGATAGACAAAATTGAATATATAATTCCAATAAATAAAAAAATAAACGTTACACAAAGAGAGGATTCTTAAACATTTCACAACTCACATACACTCTATGCCTTCAGGTTCTGACTCTCCCAGAATTTACTCTCCCATTGCTCTACTTGCTGTATGGTAGAAGCTTTTTGTCTGTGCAACGTATCCAGCTCTGACTCATAGAATGGAATGGGAAGGAAACACGGGTTTGTGACAGCCGGTCCATGGATCATAGATTCCAGCATCAGTTCCTTCTCTAATCCTTGTGCAGGGCAAGCCATTAGCTCAGAGCAAAGTTCTCTGCCGTTTTGAGGTATACTGGGCTTGTACCTTAGCAGCTTTGCATATTGGTTCAGGAGATGAAACATGTAATCATACACAAACCCCATCTTTAGTTCTTCTTCTATGAAAGCACTTGCAGCGCTGCCGATTTCCTGCGCCTAGTTTTTATTCACACATTTTATGGAAAAGAAGTTTCAGTCAGTATAAGCTCTGTTTCACTGTTTGGTAGTCTCTAAACCATTCTAGTTGTACCCACCATTATACTCACCTCTTTGAAAAGACATTTTTTTTTGTCTTTGGACGGAACTCATAGACAAAAAACCGCATTCCACAGACATGGTGTGTATAAAAGTGAGTACAAACATCATTTTTCATATGTTTATTGTGTTTATCGTCATTCGTCATAACCGCATAGTATGTAAGTTTTATGCTACTAGTACTTATTTCATTTATTGGTTGATATTGATCCTACCAACTGATTTTCATTCCAGAAAAGTGAGAAAACTAAGCACTCAGTCACTCAGTCATTGGAAACGCAGATTATAATTCCATGGAAAAAAAGAAAAAGAAAAAAGAGTATAAATCCATCTACCTAATAAAGAAGATGCAAGGGAATCCATTTGTAGGGGTTGGGAGGAAAGGCTCGGGGTTCATTTGGAGCTTTGAAAGTAAACTGAGTGAAAACAACTTTTTGTTCTGAATAAATTTGTTTTGTATAATTCATTTCACTTTCCTTTGCATTTCTGTGGTAAATCCAAAATTCGAAACACAGAAAAATAAGGGGAAATTTGACTTTGCGCCCCGTTTTCAAAATCACTAATGTGTGCACCCATTTCAGTATAAAATCATTTGACTTTGCAGTTTGCACACATTAATTATTTTGAAAATGGAGTGCAAACTACAAAGTACAATAACACTCAATACATGGGGTGCAAAATCAAATTACCCCACTATCCACACATTATTTTCTCCTTTCCTATACATGGGGTGCCCGTATGGAACTCGAAAAATGATTGGAAAGACTATTTTAGTAGAAATTTGGAAGGAAAGTGCATGTCAGGAAAATAAACATTGATTCAAACTCAAAAGCTTTATGTTCATTATTAGCTAAAGTTCTTTCTTTTTCGGAAATTACGGAAAACAAGAGTAAAACATAAACAATGTTCTTTCAGTATAGGACTAGTTAAGTTTTATCCCAATAGGAATTAATTAGTTCTTATAAAATAATAAAAGCAGTTTAGGAGTGAACGAGTCGTGTTTGAGAAAGAAATAATTGCGGTCTTATTTAAGGAAATATGTTATGCCGTAGTCCTTTTTAGGAAAATTTCTCTTCATGTTTAAGATTTATTTCTATAATACAAACACTGAAAACGTAAGGCTATGCAAAGAGAACTTAAATGATACTCCGTAGTTCATTTTCATTTGCTTTTCTTAGGTAAAAGTGTAAAACCAAATACTCCTTAATAGATTATAACTATCTTTAGCATTTTCTGGTATCCAACATAGCCTTGGATTCCTGGGAAAGGGTGCTTATATTTCTAGAAAGTTCTCCTAATTAAACAACCAAAGAAGCTCTTACAGTCAAATTTTGCTTTACATGATTCAAATTAAAGTAGAGTACCTTTTTCTTGTGGCTATTGCCCCAATCAACTGCAAACTTAATCGATTTGCATGTATCACTTTCCCTAATAGGCCAGTAATGGTGTACTGGTTTCAAACTTCTTGAGAAGAAATCATAGTAATGTGGCCTTACAAATAATGCGACTGAATTGCATGCCAGAATATACTTTTCGCTCACAGACCATGCAGATCCTTCAATATAAATTTTATACCTGCAAAACATAAAGAAGAATCCTAGTTAAAAAGTCTTCTGATGTTCCACAAGAAAACTCAAGTTTTAATGTATATAATTAAGTAGTCAAAACTTCCAACCTATGTTTACATTGCCCCGCCAAGCCCGAATCATTGTATCCATGTTCAGATGCTTTGTCCCATTCCTGTGACCACATTCTTCAATCTATTTGAGGTCGCAAACATAAACTGAGAAAAGACATTAATCTTGGATACAACGGTGAAAATTTTTGCTAACCTGTGTGTAAACACGAGCACTCCAGTCCTGATTATCAGAGGCATTGCACTTGAGAAGGTTCATCCTTTTCTCAGTGACTTTAGGATTTCCTTTCCAGTAAGCATAAGGCTCCCTATCTAACCATCTTACCTTTGTATTCCCCTCAGTTAGGTCCTTTTGCAAGACCTCCCATGGCCTTAAGTTGACTTCAGGCCTACCAATTTGTCAGAGCCGAATATAAAAAAATTACTTTCGACATTGTGGATTCCCAATACTTGTATTGCATGGTTAAACTAATAAGTTTGACACTTCCATATGTGAAGTTAAGAATAAGGTTAGGCCTAATTTAGTTTCAAAAGTTTCTCAAGTTGTAAGAGCCTAACGCGTGTTAACGAGTCCAACATCTATTAATGAGTTCATTCATTCAGATCTAGTCTAGTTAAATTTCATAAAAGTTCTCAAAATATTATAGAGTCCAACACCTACTAAAGGGTTTATTCATTCATATTCTTATTTACCCTGATTCTGTTCCAAAAGAGTTCTCAAAAGATGATAGAGACCAACACCTATTAAAGGGTCCATTCATTCACATTTAGCCTAATTCATTCAATTTCAAAAGAGTGGAGAGGTAAATGTCCAATGCCTACTAATGAGTTCATTCATTCACATTTAGCCAAAGAGAATCACTTTTCAATAAGGTAGTTACCATCCCCAGAAGGACCAATCAGGGAAAACAATATCCAAGGTCTCATCATCCCCACAATATCGGAACAATGGTGGTGGAGCAGGAGAATCGGGCTCAAGATAATCACTTGATTTGACTACGGGCCAATCTACACAATCAAACATGAGGTCAAGATCAGCCACCTTACCGGGGTACCTTCTTAACAACTGTAGAATGCCCCATAGAGTAAAAATGTCTCTAGTTTGGAAAGCCTTTTTATATGTCTCTACATATGCCCTCCCATTCAATATTACTAGCCTGAAATTGGCTGTCTTGTTGGCTCTCTCAACCATTTCCCTAGTTATCCCGGTTTCCTTCCACGGCTTTAAATCTTCATAAATCCAGCGGAAGTAATGTGGGCAATTATGAGCTATTGATGGAGGCGCTTCATTAGGAATTTCATAGTCTGGTGGGTAGTACTCTTTTGGGCATGTTCTTGTGTGGCTGCCAGATAAGCAATTCAATGGAAATTCCCGGGCCCGGGTAAGATTTTCCTTATTTACCTTCAAAATTTTAGCCAAAACAATAGAAGGAAATAGTTAGCTCACTGTCTAGACATACTAAATCTCCATTTAATCAACTCACAAAAGAGTGACAAAACAAATTCCTCCAACCGAATTCAACCGTTGTTAAGTCATCCACATTTACAAAATATAAATGCACAAACCAATATATACATATCATATCATACTAACCGAGTGGAATGGAACTGTAAATCTTAAAAGTCCCAAGGTCCCTTAATTTATGTCCAGTTTGACATGGCACAAGGTTTAAGAAAGTGAAAACTACTATGATTTTGGAACGGGCCAAGAAGGAAAGTATATTGATAATTTAGGCTTATCAAAGCATGGTAAACACAAATAAGCATTTCAGAACTGAAAAGGCAAAGCATAATGAAAAACTTGTCACAGTAATACCAATAATGTGAACTCTAGTTTAGAATGAACTGTACAATGAAAAAACTTACATCTTTAGTTGCACCTAGCATGACTGCCCATAAGTACAAAAAGAACCCAAGGAGAATGAGGAAGGTAACAGCTGAAATTACAATATTGGGCTTGTTTCCAATACATGGAAACCAGAATCTCTCTGAAAGATTATGTCTGTCGCTCCCATGCCTTTGATACCCCTGCATGCTTTTCTGCAATTGTATTTTCCCACTGCTTTTATGGGGCTATTTCAGGATGTCTCCTCAAAGGACCTTACAATGACCCTGACCATTAAAACACATTCATAAATGCAAGTAACAATACTTTACTTCTGCCTGGAATTACCATTATAATGTTAAAAATGAGATTGAGCCCAACTAACCTCCAAAGAACTCGGCTGATCAATTGTTAAGGGCAGTTTCTTCTGATTCTGCTGGCTGGAATACCACATTCTGTCTTTAGTTAGCTGCTTCCCTTCCTCCATGTAGTTTGACCCTTGGATCCAGACATGCCACAGAAAATCCAGAGAAGTGAGCTATTTTACCTTTTGTAAAACAAAAATGCAATTTTACACTATTTTGGGAACTATTAAAAAAAAATATGCATGCATGTTTTGCAGATCTCTTTCTCCGCGTGTGGGAATAAGATGGCCAGATGTTTTTATGGTTCCCCATAAATCCTTAACTAGAATCTTGGGTTGTACTGGTTTATAGGCTACTAAAAAAGGGGAGTAAAACGTACAATAAAAAAAGTTGTATAATGCAAATATGCAATTAATTTTCCTTTTAAAGAAGTACTCGTATTTGGCAAGAAAAGAAATGGGAAAAACAGAAATGATGTGTAGGCAACAAATTCTTCATATCTCCTTGAACCAACGAACGTAGACTCCCTCCCTATCTGGTTGAGACGTCAAATCAACGGTATGGATTCTTTTGACGAATGTGGTCTAGTTAGAATTGAATAAGCAACGGCAGCTTATTTAGAGCCCGTTTAGAGAACTCTGTTTTCGGCTTATCAGGCTTATCAGCCAGCTTTTTCACCAAACACGTAACTTTTACTTTCGCGCGCTGAATTGTGTAATAAGCCGAAAAAGTAAGGTTGGAGTTACTTTTCTGGCTGTATTGGCTGAAGTTACTGTAGAGGACCATTTTAGCTATTTTTACATATAATTTTTTCTTTAATTTATTAATAAAATATATTTTTAAAATATTTTTTTCTTAAATTTCAGCAGAATCAGCCAAAACAGCCGATTTTGGTGCTACCAAACGGGCTCTTAAGCACTGCGCAGCGCAGATTGACACTTGGAAAGGCTAGAGTGCTACGCGTAAAGAAATCTAAATAGTGAAAACAATACCAACTCACTTAAATTTGTCAAATTGATGTTAAAGGTGAAATTAAAATAGTAAAAGCTAAGTTAGTAAACGCTACGTTACAAGCTGCATTAGACGTCACTTTACGTGCCCAAATGTAATAGTATGTACACAAAATCTTGATTTTCATTTTAGTATAGGGAAGTGTCTATGACCCCACAAATTGAATTGTATGTGCGCAGACGATTCTAGACTTTTCGGGGATCACAGACACCTCCCTTTATTAAATTGAAAATTAATTATGTATGTATAGATAATTACACTTGAACGAGTAAACTGACTTGTAAAGTCATACCTATAACAATTTTTAGGCATTGTTCCACACCTTTTTTATTCAATGATGGTGATAGACACATACTCACAATATTGATTATGATAATCATTAAATTTGGTTCGAGTTTGTCATCAACTCGAACTGCATCCTTTAGCAATCAAGTCGAGGTCGAATTCATTTTTTGTTCGTAAACTTGTGAGTCATAACATATTCTCAAGTTCCTAAACCTAAATTGGAAGTGTCATTTTGTTGAAGTCACAATTAAAAACAAATACCTTTCCTAACTAGCTGGATTTTTTGTTTTGGACAACAGAAAAATATACTCCGTACGTACTTTCTTTGGTCCCCAAATTCAAGAGACAAGAGAAATACAACATCTACACGGTTTAAAAAAAGTGGTTTCCAAAAGGGAACCATATATAAGTCATAACACGTTTTAGAAAAGCGAAAGGCATTAAGCTGTAGTCACATTTAGAGATTTTTCTCCAAAAAACGCAGTTGGAATACAAAGAAATGCATCAGAATCGGTTCACTACAATCACAAAGCGCAGCCAAAACATAGGGTGCATGCATAGTTTTACACCTTTTGACTGTGTATGATCTTAAATAAATAAAAGAACATGATAAGAATTGGTAAGGGAAGTGAACTGCAACAGCTAGTACGTATGATCACTATAAAGGGAAAAAAACATGGAGCTGAGAAGGGGTCGGGGAATAATGCAGATTGAGATTGATGGTGCGTGGTGATGGAGGGTTTAGAATGCTCGAGCTTTAATGGTGTCGAGGCTCATTTCGCTAGGATCAGTGGCCTGGAGTTCAACTTGAATCCCATCTAATTCTCTCTTGAATCGGTCTTTTGAGCTTGCATACACCATCTTCATCCTCACCCTTGATGATTCCGGTGACCTGAATATATTTGCAATGCATAAAAGGGTACGTAGTTATTCATTTAACAAGTATTTTTAAAAGGATATACTATCTATTAACTATGTAGTACAAGTAAGTTGTCCAATTTAGCCGGTCGCCAACTCACTTTTCAAGGTCTCGGGTTTGAAACTTCATGGAAAGAATTTTTTATGTGGGAACTCCATGATATGCAGTAGTACTTATAGGTTTGTTTTTTCTTAACGGTTTATGTATTAATCCAGAACATTTTTGAAAAAAATTGATTAATGACTACAAAGACTGCTAGAACGACAGACCTATTGATGTGACATAGTTCAATGGCTATGCAATATATTAGGTACTCCCTCCGTCCCGAATTGAGTTGCAAACTTTGACCGGCACAAGAATTAGGAAGTTCTGTTCGGCCATCGCCATTTGAGGCGGTTCCCGGTGGAATTTTTTTATTGAATTTTTTGAGCATCTTACTCATTAAGTCTAGTTTACGCATACCAAATTTCAGCTAAAACTTCAATTGGAAAGGCATTCAAATGAATTCTTGAAGATAATTGCGCAATTAAAACCGCAGTTATCTTTAAGAATTCATTTGAAATGTTAGCTGAAATTTGGTGTGAGTAAACTAACTTAATGAATAAGATGTTCAAAACATTTCATCAAAAAATTCCACTGGGAACCGCCTCAAATGGCGACGGCCGGACAGAGCCTCTTATATAAGGGTTTATTTGACATTTTTATGTAAGTTCGAGGGTCTATTTGACTCTTTTCCCTAAAATTTATTTATATCATACTACCTTCAGCCCCCCAAAAATTGAGACATGAAGGGTGACACATTTATTAATAAAAGTGAGTTTATGTGACTGATATTATATTGATAAAATAATTACAAAGTAAGAATGATTTAAAACCACACAAAATTTATCAAATTTGGTATGTGACAGTTTTAGTGAGACGGACCAAAAAGAAAAGACAATCTTGGAAGCACACATGATTCATGAAGTAATATAGAACGGTAGTCCTCTGGATTCTATTAGACGGCCTTACCTTTGAGTTAGAAGGGGACTAAAAGAAAATATTATTGCATTGATATAAAAGAAAAAAAATGTATGTAAGGGTCTAAAACAAAAAATGTCATATTTGCCCCGATAAAAAACATATTTAAGACGTCTATAAACGATTATTAAACTAGCAAGTAAGGTTATCAACTACTATTTCTATATTTGCCCCGATAGAACATCATGTTTTAATCATTGTTCTAAAACTCGCTAGGCACTAGTCGGGCGGTTGAGGGGCGCCTAGTGCCTAGGCGGCCGACTAGACCGATTTTTTGGCCGACTAGGCCGATTTTTTGACCGACTAGGCCGACTAGACCTCTACATGCAGTTAGGTCCGACTAGGGCGCCTAGGCCGAATTTTAGAACAGTGATTTTAATGTGATATTTGTACCAAATCTTGTAATGATTTAAATGGTCGGCAGTCTTATTCAACAATTATAGAGAGATTTCTCAAAATGAGAGTGAAAAATCAAAAATTGAATACTATCTATTTTTCCTAAATGTAAAGGAATTATTTTCAACCTGAAATTGAATGAACATATTTTAACACTATCAAATATAGTACTTCTATTTTAAAATTTCTTTCTACTTTACCCCCATTATAGGCTTATAGCTAGGAAGATTTCTGCAATCATAACTAAATTCATCACTATTCACCACCTAAATGAAAGTTGCTCTATCCTTTAAAGCCTTTGTTCAATTTTTGGAGGACAATTAATTATGCAAAAAAAAAAATGTTCTTACATGCTTATTAGAATTAGTAAAGTTGTATGTTTATATTTAATTAATGTATAAAAAGTATAGAACCCATATCAATTACATAAATCTTATCCTTGAAAAAGAAAATTTTTTAAGTAAATGTCAACAAATAAATTGAGAATTGTTTTTAGGATGGGGGAGTATTAAACAATAATAAAAAATAATCTTGATTCTTGACTAACTTAATTTAATACTACGTATATTTTTTTCAAAATGATAATTTATTTGTAGAGTTTATACTATACACATATAATTATAAGTAATAATGATCAAAGATGGATACAAGACTCCAAAAGTCGAAACATGAACATTAATTAAAAACGAAGATCATATTATATACTCCCGATCCGTATAAAACATCATATTTCAATTTTTATTTTATAAGTCAACAGTATTTATCATACACAATTAAAGGCAAATTATACCGTGCAACCAACATATCTTGCGCATGGTACGCCGGTACTAATACGGTGCCGTTTTTTCATACTTCCCGTGCCTCATTTGTTTCTTCTTTCTCATTGATTACTTTTAATTTTCTTTATCAAAAGCCTTCATGCTCTCTATTTTCTCATCTACACTCACACACTCCAATCATCGTTCGACTATCTCTTTTTTCATTCTATGTTTACTTTAAATTTTTAATTATCAAAAGCAATCATGTTTCCAAACAATTTTTTTTTTAATTTTGGAACAATGATGTACGTATTACAATTTTGAGATTAAATTTTCATCCTTTCAAAAGAAATTAATTATGTTTTTTTCTGTCTTACTCCTTATTCATACACTTTTTTCTTTTCTTATTTGCTTCAACTTAACTTACAATAAAAAAATTAATTTTTCTTCTTCAAAATAAATAGTTTTATATTTTATACATTTGTGTGATTTATATTTCAACATGTGTGAGTTGTGTTTATACACAATTTCTGGAATTACATTTGATAGTATATGAAGTTACATCTTCTTATGCGCAAGTTACATCTGTTTATACGTGAGTTACATCTTAATGTACTCGAGTTACATCATGAAATAAACCCTGCTAATGATTAAAAAAATGATTTTTTAACTATATCATTTTTTATGATAAAAAAAACTATATCATTTTTTATAACCCTAATATTAAAAAACATATTCACTATTTACAAAAAGTAATTGGGCAAATTAAATAGGATCAATTTTTAATTGTTTACATTGAAATTAATGTTGATAATATACATAAGTTTTCTTTTCTTAATTTTCTTATATGTATTTATGTATATATAAGATGTTTACCTTTCAACTTTTCTAGAATTACATTTTAATGTACGCAAGTTACATCTTAATATACGCGAGTTACACCACTAAATAAACCATGCTAATGATAAAAAAAATTAACTAAATCCATTTTTATAGCCTTAATGTTAAAAATTCAAAACATATTCACTATTTATAAAAAGTAATTGGGCAATTAGGATCAATTTTTCATTGTTTACATTGAAATCAATGTTTTCTCCACTTACATTCCGTTTTTGACAACTTACATATCAACTTGACTTAAGTTACATTTCCTATCAACGGGAGTTACATCACCCTGCTACTGAAACACACAAAAAAGTTGTTGTTCATCCGCGGGTACTGTTCATCCGTGTTTTACCCCTAGGAGCATGATGCTCATTGTGCGCCGCAGCGCCGGTACCACGATATACGAACTGACAATTAAAATTTTGGTAGAGTCAAGGACGCAGGTCCAGCCGACTCGATTGGCTGCGAGCTAATTATTCTTATTTTTTCTAGCGTAAGTAGTTCAATAATTATAAAGTCTTATTTTATTAAAGTTAGAGTTTTATATTTCTATGTGATTATTTTTACCAAATAAAATTTTCAAATCATTTTTCATATTATAAGTATTCTCGTATACAACTATATCATTCGTCAAAGCTTAAAAACATTGACGAAGAAAGTAAAAATTAAGAAATTTTGTGAGACTAGAGCATGAAACAAAAAACTAACCTCTAAAACTAACCTTTGAGAATAAAACAAGTCTTAATATCCAACATTTATAAAGCTTAATATCCTTATCAAGAGAATGTGCAATTACCGTTGTATTAATGTCCAACCCGTGTTAAGATTTGTTATTCCTTCATAAGTAGTGAATTTAATTAGGACACATCAACACCCATCAAGACGAACCACTTTTGTATGGACTGTTCAACATTTTCTTCAGAAAATTGTTAGGGGTGTACACCTTTTTCTGTAAACCTTTTTGTATACATTGTATACTTTTCTCTCTATACGTATGAGAATTATATGTGTACAGACAACTTCTGTATTTCAATATGAATTGTCTGTATACAAAAAATTGTGTCTATGTAGAATGTAGACAGATAAGGTGTGTCAAAGGTGTACACAAAAAACATGTACTACTATGTTCTTCATAAGGACATTACTCATTGACTAGGTGCAATTTAAGTTTCTACCAATCGCATCATAGCTACATATGTAATTACATCTTCTTGAGAATAAATTTGAGTCATAACTAAATCCAAAAAACACTCGATAGATGAGAAAATACAAGGATTGACCGATGTTTAATGATCTGATCATGTGAGACACTTGTGTTAGCGGGAGATTTTGTTACAATTAAACCCATAATAATGTCAATCGTTTTTATGTACGTCCCTTTTTTAACACGAAATAACTATGTACACAGGCAAAACAGGGCGTGTACACAACAAACAGCTTATAAGGAGCGAGAAAAGAAGAACGTACCAGGCAATGAAGAAAATCTTGCTTTTCTGGACATTCTCATCGGTGGTGAAGTCGAAATCGAAGACGGCGTAACGGCATTCCTCGGGCGGGAGGGAGTTGGTGAAATCTTCATAGCTTTCATCAGGTCTCCCCAGCTTTTCAACCACAACCTGTTGGCCTTCGATCTTAAACAGAATGTACCTGTGGTTTCTCTTCGATTTTAACTCCAAAAACTTGAGCTTACACTCGTCGTCCACCTGCATTCCAGACACTGCATTTGCCTGCATTTCACACCCATTCATTTATTGGCAGATTGATTATCTAAATGTGAATTACACATGTATAAGAACAATAATAATGCAAATTGATCATCATTAAAACGAAATGATGAGATCCATGTTATTATACCATGTTGAGGATTAGCAATCAAAGACGATCACGCTGCGTTTCTGGGAGGGGAAACAAACCTAAAAGAGAAATTATTTATTGGATGATGAGAGGAAAATGGAAATGTGGATGAAAATCAGGAAGAACGAGAGAGGTGGTCCTTGAATCAGTTAGGAAATGAGGCATATACATTTTGAAACATTTTGTTGCTTTTTTGAATAATTATTATAAACCAAAGAGAGATGTGCGGGAAATGAGAAAATTCCTCAAGGGCTGAGAATTTGCCGTCACTAGTTTTATTCTTTCTTCTTTATAAAACATGCAAGGTGAGAATTTGAATAATATGCATGAGAACACGAGAAAACAAGAATGAATTGGGTCTATTAGATTTGAGAATTTTACATTATATGAAATGTAAATATGCACTACAATGAACAGAAAATGTAGTGACATTTTTGAAAATAAATTTAACTTTTTTTCTACTTTCAAGTGTGCATTATCTTAATCATAAATGTACAACGTCATGAACCGGAATGTGGATAGTTTCTAAGCATTTTCATTTCTCACGGAAAAATGGTTCTCACCCGACTTGGACCCTATCTAACCAATCATGACAACATGCATAGGGAGTGCCACATAACAAAAAAAAACTATTTGTGTATGAAACTTGTACACATTTCACACGGTCGACATAATTGTTTATGCACAGACAATGTGTACACTCCTAGTTGCCTGTGTACATAAGCAGTTCGTGCAACATTGTCTGTGTACACAAACAATTACGTACAAATGTATGCGAAATGTGTACAACTTTTGTGTAAAAGAAGAATTGTTGGTCACATAATTATGATATGTAGGATCTTCACGGCATATCCACAACATAATTTTTATACTTTTTCTTTTTGGATTGACTTTCCGATCAAGAGTATGAATCAAGGAGGAGGAGGAAGTAAAACTAAATGGATATTGATCCTCAGCTCAGATAATTCAGTTTTGATCATTTTGGATTTAAAGAATATGGAACTCATGATTGAACTGGTAGCTTAAATCTATTTCGATTGAATTTGGTTTAGGCTATGTTTGTTGGGCATAAATGTATGTCTTTTAGATTTTGTATTGTTCAAAAAGTCTCTAAAAGCTTCTAGTTATATGTTTGTCATGACAATTTTTAAAAGTTTTTCAAAAATTAAAAGATCTTTTTTGAGATATTACAGGGAGTGGCATCTAAAAAAAGCCCGTGACTTTAACTATCTAGTACGTAGTATTAAGGCTATATTTGGCAGGCATAAGTCTCTGCCTTCTAGCTTTTGTACTGTTCAAAAAGTTTCTAAAAGCTTCTAGTTATATGTAGGGCTGGACTCGGTTCGGCCGGGCCCGGTTCGGGCCGGGCCCGGTTCGGGCCTTGAACCGGCCGGGCCTCGGTTCACCAAAAGGAGGGCCCGGGCCCGAACCGGCGGTGACCGGTTCTGGGCCGGTTCCGGGCCGGTTCACCCGCCCCATTTTTTTTTTTGGCTTCTCTTATTTAACCCCCTACCCCTACCCCTCAACCCCAAACCACCCCAAATCACCTCAAATGGCCCAAAATACCTAATCCAACCCAAAAATTAAAAAAAATTAAAAAAAAAATAAAAAAAATTATTCTGGCCCGGACCGGGCCCGAACCGGCCGGGCCGGTTCACCAAATGGAGGGCCCAGGCCCGGGACCGGTATCCACCGGGCCGGTTTGACCCGAACCGCCGGTGGACTGGGCCACCGGGCCGGGCCGGTTCACACAGTAACCGGGCCGGGCCAGTTCACACAGTAACCGGGCCGGGCCGGTTCCAGTTCGGGCCGCTCGGCCCGAGTCCAGCACTAGTTATATGTTTGACATGACAATTTTAAAAGCTTTTCAAAAATTAAAGAATCTTTTTTGAGATGCTAAGGTGAGTAGCATCTAAAACAAGCTCGTGACTTTTAAGTATTAATTAGTCCTAACAGCTTGTATACCAAATCGAACTAAATCAAACAGTTGGCTTTTTACCAAACAGCTGCCACCTTTTTCTTTTAAGATCTTTTTAATCACTAAAAGCTAACAGTTCTGAAAAAGTTCACAAAAGCGTAAGTATCTTTTCAGCTAGTTGTGTCAAACATACCCTAATTAGTCTTAACAGCTTGTATACCAAACCGAACTAAATCAAACAGTCAGTTTTTTACCAAACAGCTAACACCTTTTCTTTTTAAGATCATTTTAGTCATTAAAAACTAACAATTATTAAAAACCCCACAAAAGTATCTTTTCAGCTAGTTGTGTCAAACATACCCAGTCATTTTGTGGGCTTTGTGTTTATTTTTCGGTCAAAACTTGAAAGCATAAACTTTAAACCATGAGTAAAATCGCTTATATATGCGTTTTGTTTTGTTTTAATTAGTTATGTTTCGGACTTTTTATCGGATGGTTACGTTTTGTCCAATTGTTGTCCGGTACTCGATAATAGTGTCACCTGAATAAACAGTGTTGTTTATAGCATGAACTCAATAAAGTTTATACCTGTCACATAACTCAGGGCCGTAGATGAGGACGTGCAAAAAGTGCTACCGCACAAAGCCTCTCGAGTCAGAAGGGCCAAAATTTTAAATATAGCCTACATAATAATATACAAAATCCTTTTCTATTTGATTAAAGATTACTATTTTAGTATTTTGTCTTTAAATACAAACATTAAATACTAATATTTATATGTAATTAAAATGCAATTATTAATTATAAATGTGCAACTTCTTTATTACATAAGGCCTTTATAAGGCATAGTACGTTATAGTAATTAGCACAAATTCCTCGAACAGTTTGGACGAGCTTGATTTTAAGGGACGGATGGAGTAGTTTTTTCAATAATATCCTACTCTATATGTTTTAGTTCATGATTTTTATTCATTTCTTTTCGGTTTTAGTTTTTTTACCGATTTGGTTGTTCAGGTTCGAAATATGATTATATCTCAATGTCACATTTGATTGTAGTCTTTTTGGGTTATTTTTTAAAGACTGCTTTTTATATTATATTCATTTATTTAATTTAAGGCCTATTTTACATGATTTGCACCGGGTCAGCTAATCTATTGAGCCAGCCCTAACATAACTTACTACATAATGCAACTATTTTCTTAAACAAGTGACGTTTATCTTTCCCGAACATAGATGCAGCAAGGAGTAGGAAGTTATGCGTTCATTATCAGTTTCAAACTCATGCGGCAATAGGGTTGGACTCGGGCCGGGCGGCCCGAACCAGAACCGGCCCGGCCCGGCCCGGTCACTGTTTGAACTGGCCCGGCCCTGCAGCCCGGCCCATGGGCGGTTCGGGTCGACCCGGCCCGGTGGCTACCGGTTCCGGGCTCGGACCTTCATTTTGGTGAACCGGCCCGGCCGGTTCGGGCCGTATTTAATTTTTTTTTTTTGAATTTTTTTTAAGTTTTTGGGTTGGATTGGGTATTTTGGGCCATTTGAGGTGGTTTGGGGTGGCTTGGGGTGGTTTGGGGTTGAGGGGGAGGGTAGGGGGTTGATTAGGAAAACCCCCCAAACAAAATATAGAACCGAACCAGGCCCGGCCCGAACCGGGGTTACCCGGGCAGGTTCCAGGCCTCCCCTACCTTGAACCGAGGCCCGGCCGGTTCAAGGCCCGGAACCGGTCCAACCCTACGCGGCAACCAAGGTCCAACGGTGTTTGCAATGGATATTAACTTGAAAGGGTTCCAAACTACGACTAGTGCCCAGAGTCAGTCTAACCCTACTCACCTAGTCCAGTTCCTCCAAAATTACAACAGGCCGGTTTTTGTTCCATTTTTCTCATGACTAGTAAAAGATTTACCAGTCCTGATTACAGGCAGAGCACTCTCCGGACCGGGAACCAAAAACCAGAACACGACCAAAATGGAATGTTTTGGCATGTGTGGTCACAATAACCAGAATGGAATATTTTGGCATGTCTAGTCCAACAGGTGTATATAAGATAATTCTACTAAAGGAAGTCTCGTCTGGAGATCAAAACAGGAGTCACCTGAAAGAATGAAAGGGTACAAAGTATACCAACATAGGAGCAGGCTAGTAACAGTCACAGATTAAGAGAAGAAATAATATTTCAAAATTAGAAGTTAGGAGGATATTACACTCATATTTTTTCAGTCACAAATGATTCAATATTTCAACCTACAAAATTGACAACTTTAGGTCCCTGATGTTTCTTTTTCAATTTGGCAATGTTGTCTTCCTTGGATTCGCCTACCATGAAGTCATCGTCTAGATCATCTCCACTGGTTAATTTTGTGACTTGCCCTGTAGGTACATCTTCTATTTTAACTGTGCAAGAAGGGCAAGTAAAAAATGATCAGGACAGCATTTGACATATCAAGTATAAATGATAAAGATTATTATACGAATTCCATGTGTGGTTACAACTCCAAAGTCAACAATCTTAAGTGAATACAGTGAATAGATCATGCATCTATGGAACACTGATAGTGAATTGCCGAGCTCCAACCAAGGATGCAATAATAATTAGCGGAATAGTGTTTTCTAATTAATTAAATTAATTGAAAAATGGCTCAATACAATACGTCCTAGAAATGATTCATGTCCAAAATATCAGACTGCCAAGTGCTATCCATGAATAACATCTACAATTGCAAAATAAAATACTACGTAATAGACAAAGCAACAAACCAATGCTGTACAGTCCTAACATTATTCAACTAAAGAAAAGCTGGCATTTAGTTGTTTTTCATGAAATTGTGTCCCAGAAGAAGAAAAACCCCAACAAATTAAAAAATTGGAAGCACATGGATGAGGTATTATACTATTATATTGCTTACATCTTTTATTCGAACCATGGGTTGCATTGGAAGTTGTGCTACCCTTGTTGGGACAATCTTTGGCCAAATGTGTAATACCACCACAAGTGTTGCAACTACCACCCTGTAAATTTTAAGTTTGTAAGAGGCAAAAAATTGCAACTAGACAGGTCAGCCAACTCTAGGAGTTGATAATCTCAATCTCATTTAATCAAATTTCCCAGAGGCTATGGATGTGTACCTTCCAGTAGATCCCGTGAGCATTTTTAGGGCAATCCTTGCTCAAGTGCCCGAGCTCTTTGCAAATAAAGCAACTGGCATACTTTGTTCCACCTGTATTGTCAGAAGTGGAAATACATAATCATTAATCAATCCATAGACCCAACTCATAAGTCATAAGTTAATG